CGGACCATTCCTTCTGGTACCTCCCACACAAAGGGATACAATTTTAAATAGGTTTAACTCTTATAAAATACCAAATAAGTATCCGATTCTCACATCCCAATATTTCTACTAAAAAGAGACGTGGTGTGAAGCTGGAATATATCGGTCGGTCTACTCCTTCTTATACCTCCCCTCCCCCACAAAGTGGTCAAAATTTTGAATATCTATGGAGCTCATAAAACGCGAAATGTGCATCCGACGATTTTCAAACTTGGCATATCTCAATATTTCTACTAACATAAGACGTAGTGTGAAGCTGGAATATATCGGTCCACTCTTTCTGGAACTTCCCCCGTAGAGGAGTCAACATTTTGAATAACCGAAGAGCTTATAAATGCGAAGTAATCATCCGATTTCCTTCAAATTTCATACATTCCAATATTTCTATTAACACAAGATCTGGTGTGAAGATGCCAAATATCGGCCCAAACCTTCTGGTATCTCTCCCACAAAGGGTTAGAATTTTCAAATTTTATATAATTTGCTAAGCAAATTAGCGATTCGTTAGAAACTTGGTAACCTGAGATCTCATGTTTATCTAAAATTCATCAGCTCACCCTTCCGGTACCTCCCACACAAAAGATTTAAATTTAATAGAACAGTGTTGGCTTGTTTGTTCGGGATACCGTAGTATTTTGTTGTTGCAAAATTGTCAGGCTTTATCCCTTTATTGTTGTTTTTATAAGAACAACGTTTGTTTATTAGTGGAGAACGATGGTAATGTTTACCATGGGGTAAGGCAGGAATACCTATGTTTCGGAAAGAGCCAATAATCCTCATCAGTTCCCTTGTTTTTTTGTCTGGGATATTTTCCCAAGAAGTTATTTTTAAAAGAACTTCTATGACAAACATTTTAATTTAAAAATTTAAATTTAATTATTCGAATAAAATTGGATATAAATTTTAGTTGCTCATCCAAATTTTTTTTGGTATTAGATGAAGTGGAATACTTCGATCCACTTTTTCTGGTACCTCAGGCACATTTATTAATTTTCCAAAAATTATTACATTTCTCATGTAAAGGTGAACGAAGATATAGCCCAAAATCTGGTACATGGAAGTAAAATGTTTTAACTTCTTTGGAGGAAATTAGCTGTTAATTTTGGAAAATCTTCCTAAAATCACTGTGCTTGGATGTTGGAAAAAAATCTGTTCTTCCACATATTGTTTATATCTATGTCAGAATAGATGCGGATATATATATTGATGCTTGTGCCATTTGTCAGTTCTTCGTATTTTTAGTATCTTTGTTGCGAACATAAAATCACAAGTTTGTTGTAAAGTGCATGAACTGAACCAACTGCAAAAAAGGATGTAAAAGAATATCGCAAAATTTTCAGCGATGAACAAGGAAGTGTTCAACATTCCAGAACCGGAAAATTTTCTCAAGCAATGAACTGCAGCCATTGGAATTTATGGAGAAATTTTTATAGAGCAAAGATAGTTTTTATTGTTTTCACAGAGAAAGAGAGAGAGGCAAAGAGAGTGTGAGAGAAATAATAATGTAAAGATTAAAAATCTAAGGTTTCTATGTGGAGAATATATTGGCTCGAATTTGGCAGAAACTGTTTTCAATACTTAATTGAGAAAAGTTCCCAATAGTTACCTACTAGAGTCTATGGTTCATAAAATTCACAAAAGCTCATAAATCCAATTTGTGGAAGGTTCTTAAAATCGCTGAATGTTCATAGCATCGTAAAATGTCCTTAAGATCATTAATATTGAATAGAAATTTCATATTTCTTGAATCATATATTAACTGATGTCAGATTAATTAAAAATGAATTACTCCTCAATTAAAACAACGGTTCCTAAAAATAATGAAAGTTCATAGAATTAATAAAACCAAAAAAAAAAAAAATAAATAAGAAAAGTTCATAAAAAATGTTTCATAGATGGTAATTATCACTTTTGAAAATAATTAAAATCGTAGAGGGATCATGGAATCTTCATTGCCCCATGAAATATAGAAGAATTAGAGAAATATAAGCGATTTCTAAAAGAAAAATCGTTCATAATATAAGAGAGATAGAGGCAGAAAGAGAGAAAAAATAATAAAGCTGCAAAAATAAATGAGCAGAGAAATAAATCTGATAAAATCCATAAAAGCCATGTAAAGATTTCATAGAAATATCTTTAGTTCATAGGATGCGTTAAAGAAGCATTAAATATTGAGAGGTTTGTTTTACAGAATCTTGTACTCTATGTGGGAGAAGTACCAGAAGAAATGGTCCGATCCCTACCATCTTCATAACAGATCTTGTGTTGATGGAAATATTGAGAAATGCCAAGTCTGGATAGCATCAAATGTGAATCTCGCGTTTTATGAGTTTCATGGTTTTTCAAAGTTTTGACCCTTCCTTTATGGGAGAGATACCAGAAGGAGTGGATCGAGACATTTCATCTTCATAGCAAATATTGAATTAGTAGAAATAATGGGTTTTATGATCGTTTTTTTTTTGTTGGTCAAAACAAAAAGGCCATAGAGACCTAAGGTCTATAACCGTTATTTCGATGAGACGCGTTTTGGCCGTTTCAAATGATATGTACCCTCGTTCTCAAGCCATATGTATGAGGGTATAAAAACATCGATGGTTACAAAATAGAACGATAGTTCATAAAACCAACGTTTTACTCATCCTTCAGAGAATCATGGAATAAACTTCGAAGGCAATTAGCTCCTACAATAGTTGAAATTTTATTAAAATATCGACAGTTCATATGCAGACTTCTCAAGGCATTATAATATTATCGATTATTCGTGGAATCGCCGAATGTTTATCGAATTATTACGCAGAAAGTACAACCAATACAGGGTGAGATAAAAAATCTGCAATAAAGTCAAAAGCCTATAATTTTTACGTTTTTTTTAATGTTATTGAATGAAAGCAAAAAATGTCGGAAATAGCATCAAATATTAGAATGAGTTTAGATTTGTTAGAATTGATCACCTTTGGCACGAATTATGGCCTTCAAATGGCCAATGAAACCGTCACACGCTGTCCGAATGTTGCTCTGTTCTGCTGTATTTTGGCCCATTCCCGGCGAAGCGCTTGCTTGAGGTGATCGACACTTTGGTAATTTTTAGTGCCAACCTTGTTTTCCAAAAATACTCCAGACAAAATAGTCCAACGGATTGGTATCCGAAAATTTTGGTGGCCATTGTGGGCTGGAAATGATGCGAGCAACCTCATTTTGTAACCATTCTTGGGTGGCGCGTGCTGAGTGCGATGGTGCTGAGTCCTGTTGGAATGTCCAATGTCTGCGGCCAAAATGTTTGCGTGCCCAAGCCTTTAATACACCCTCCAGAATATTTTCGCGATGATATTTGGCATTTATTCTGATACCACGGTTGATTAATATGAGCGGAGAGCGACAATCGGCTGTTATGGCGGCCCACACACACCATCACCATGGCCGGCGCTTGAGTTCTGGTGGCCAACCAAAGGTTCAGCTGACCTCTTTGGCAAGTAAACATGATCACTTTGTTTGTTCACAAACTGCTGGACAACGAATGTTTTCTCATTGGAGCGGAGAAAACCAAATTCGGCACTTCACTACTTTCGGCCAAGCGAAGCAATTCTTTAGCTCTTTTAAGTCTATTTTATTTCAGTTGCGGTGCAAGTTCTTGCACTTTTTGGAATTTCAATGGCTTTACCCCGAACTCATTTTTCAATATTTGCCGAATGGAATATTGCGATATGTTCAACTCACGAGCCATTTGTCTGCCACTGCGACGCGGGTTTCGATCAAGTCGCTTCTTTCGCTTTTCGAACCATTTCTGCTGATGTGGCTGTTTTCTTCCGTCCAGTTCCAGTTCACGGAAACGAGCGATGGTACGAGACACAACAGATTTATTCACATTTAAATGCTGAAGTGTTCTAACGAAAGCCACTTGAGGGTTTCCAGCCAAATATAAAGAAAACACACTATCACGTTTGAATTCCATCACGAATAACATTTTTTGTGGAAAATTCTGCTTTTGAACGCTTGTAAACAATATTCTTAGCTGTCACCGAAATAATTATTGACAGCTGTCGGATGAGTGGCTTAGAAATGACAGGAGTCTGAAATTGGTTGAAGTTTTCTCATCTCACCCTGTATATTTTGAAGGTTCTTTTATTTACCGATTGGCTCAAAAAAATACCGTAGGTTTACAAAATAGGATGATGGTTTTTATAATCTACGATTGTTTATAGAATCGTAGAATCATGGATGGCACGTAGAATTACAAGAGGTTCCTAGAATAGTTGAAAGTTATTGAAATCAACGAATATCGACAGTTCATATGAAAAAAATCCTCAATATTTTAAAGAATTATCGATTCTTCATGGAAGCACCGGATGTTTATCGAATTATTACGCAGAAAGAACAGACAATGTCTGATTTCTGTTTTGAAAATTGAAAGCAAAGTCCATATTTATCTCAAAACATATATAAATCTCTGAATTTTATGAAGTGCAAATTGCAATTGTTTGCGATATTTGCTGGAGGTGAACGAAGAGCAAAACATAAACAACAAAATCAAATGACGTCAATCAATGAAATTGAAATTGCATGCAATGATGCCAAAATAAGCTAACATAGAAATTTTCCTAAATCTGGGAGATTATGAAAACAAACATGTCGGAAGGAAGGAAAGAAAGAAGGCAGGTAGAATATTTGGAAAAATTTTTGGGGAAAAATAACAGGAAAAGCTATCAAAATTATAAAATAAATAAACAATAAGGAAATCTGTGTGTGTTTTTATTTGGGTGTGGGGAGGGTTATAAAATTTATTTACGACTCAATAACAAATTTAATGAACTGCAGGGTATTTAAGTTGGGCGGCGGCGGCGGCGACGTAGCCATTCATGGAAAATAGCCAACAAATAACAACAAGTGCTGCGGCTGCTGTTGCCAGATTTATATTCCAATTTTTATTAATATCTGCTTTCTTCATTTTTCTTTTCTATTTTTAGATGTCGAAGAACTTTCAACCAAACTCATGGCCAAATTGGCCGAGGTACAAAGTTTGGAGGGTGGCACATTTTTCATAGGCAATGCCGATGCCCTACGGATACAGCCATCTGCACCAGCCCTGCAGACAACGGTGGCAGCATTTCATCAGCCCCAGCATGTCATGTTACCAGGTGAGTTTCAAAGAAATGGCAACAACAACATCTGCATCAAATGATGTTGTTGTTATTTTAAGGATTGTAGCAATTTTTTTCGTTTTGTTTTGATTTCATAAGAATCTAAATTGGAGATACTTGAGGGGTACATTATTATCATTAATGGGGAATTATTTTGGAAGTTTCAAGTAACAGCGCGATGTAGTACCACTTCTTGGTGTCCTCCAGTGGTGTTTATAAATAAAATATAAATTACATGTTTTAAAAGTGAATTTTTAACACTTCAAAAAGAGGGTACTTGAAACTGATACTTGAAATGGAGGTTGATAGGTGGCACAGTGGTTTGAAATTGGTTGTTAAGTAAGGATTGAAGAAGAAGCTGCTGCCACAACACCATGATTTTGAACAAAGTCATCGCCATTACCAAGATCTTCTGGCGATGTAAGGTCTGTTCATTACCGCCAAAAACGAAGGCAACAAGATACCCATGACAGATTTTCTATTTGCGGAAGGTCTTCTACATATAAGGGACCTCTAGAAGGTCCTTGTGATATTGAGGATTTATATATAAGACTTACAGAAGATTTTCGAAATATAGAAGACTCAGGTCTTCTTGAGAAAGAAAAATGCCTTCTCGATAGGAATTCCCACAGAAGGTCCTCGAGCTTTAGGGGACTTAAAAAAGTTTCTATTAGATTAAGGAGACATATCGTCCCATTTCTATTAGATATAGAACCATATAAGATCCTCGAGAAATGTGGGACTTATAGAGGATCCTTTAGATATAGAAGGTCTATAGAAGACCCAAAGACGGTCTTCTACAGGTAGAAGACCCATAGAAGGTCTTTTCGATGTAGAAGCCTCAAAAAAGGTCTTCTGGATTTATAAGAGACCTATTGAAGGTCTTCTAAATTTTGGAGATCTTAGAAGGTTTTCTCGATAAAGGAGGCGTACATAAGATCTTCATCCTATTGAAGGTCTTCTAGATTTTGGAGATCTTAGAAGGTTTTCTCGATAAAGGAGGCGTACATAAGATCTTCAAATTTTGGAGACTTAGAGAAGGTCTTTTAGATATCGAAGATCTTCTAGATATAGAAGACCTCTAGAAGGTCCTCGAGATACAATGGAGTGTATTCTAGATATAGAAGGCCTATAGAAGACGCGTAGAAAGTCTTCTTTCGGTAGAAGACCTATAGAAAATCCTTTGGATATACAAGACCCAAAGAAGGTTTTCCAGATATAGAAGACCTATAGAAGGTCTTCGTTATATTGAGGATTAACAACAGGTCTTCCAGATACAGAAGATCTTTAGAAGGTCTTTTAGATATAGAAGACCTATAGACAGACCTATTGAAGGTCCTTTGAATAAAGACGATCTACAGAAGGTTTCTTAGGCATAGAAGGTATAAAGGGTCTTCTGGATATGGAAAACCTAGAGGGTCTTTCGAATAGAAAGGTTCCTTTGGATATACCTAGACATTTTGTAGGTCTTCAATATTTAGATGACCTACAGCAGGTCTAAAAGATCTAGAGAAGGTCTTCTAGATTTAGAAGATCTATAGAGGGTCATTGGATATAGAAGACCTACAGAAGGTCTCCTCAGCATAGAAGGCCTAGAGGGGGTCTTCTAAATACAGAAGGTCTTCTGGATGTAGGGGATCTACAGAAGGTATTCTGTATATAGAAAATCTAGAGAAAGTCTTCTGGAAATAGAAAACCTAGAGAAGGTCTTCTAGATAGAGAAGACCTATAGATGGTCCTTCGAATATAGAAGACCTACAGAAGAACTTCTATAGAAGACCTATAGAAGGTCTTCTATGTAAGGAACACCTACTGAATGTATTCTAGGTGTAGAAAACCTAGAGAAGGTCTTCTAGATATAAAAGACCTAGAGTAGGTCCTTTAAATATAGAAGATCTAGAGAAGGATACAGAAGACCCATAGAGGTTTGGCTATAGAGGACCTACAAAAGGTCTTCTATATATAGAAGACCTAGGGTAGGTCATTTGGAAATAGAAGATTTAGAGAGGGTCTTCCAGATACAGAAGACCTCTAAAGGGTCCTATTGATATATAAGGTCTTCTAGATATAGAGACCCATTGAAGGACCCCCGAAAGGTATCCTGGATATTGAAGACCCACAGAAGGTCTTCTGAATACAGAAGACCTACCCAGGGACTTGAGACGACCTACAGAACACTGTTGTATAAAAAACCCATAGAAAGTCTTTTGAATACGGAAAAACTATAAAGGTATTTTAGACCTACAGAAAGTCTTCTGGACCTACCGAAGGTCTTCGTGATATTCTAGTTATCGGAGAGCTATAGAAGATCTTCTAAACTTACAGAAGGTCTTCTCGATATAAAAATTTGTTGAAAATCTACTTGATATAGAGGACCCACATAAGTTCTTCTGAATATAGAAGGTCTTCTAAATATATAGAAGACCTATAAAATGGTCTTCTGATGTAGAAGGCCTGTAGAACGTCTTCTATACTTTGAGGGAATTTCCTATCGATAGATCATAAGACTTCTTTTTATTGCATATTTTTTTTTTTTGGAATGGATATCTGTTATGGTCCATGGAAAATAAAAATTGGTATCTGGGGGCTACTATTCGAAATATTTTTAACCTTTTTTTAAATCTAAACTTCGAAACGTGGCCATAACTTCTTTCTTATTATATGTATTTATATATTTTGTGGCATATGCATTTTCTCGAGGCAATCAATCTTTCCAATTGGCACTCGGCCGTTCCTCCCTCTGGCAACAGCTGTGTTTTGTTTCTCGAACCACTGTGAGCCATAAAAAAAAGAAAAAAACCTTTCCATGTCATTGTCGCCTGTTTATGCCTCGCTTCAAGTGTTTCTTATTGCCTTGAAACCTGGCGGGATGCATTTCCCACTCGCTGGGTACTAAGGGATTTTTTGTTTAATCCATTTTCAAGATGTTTGGAGGATAATTTTAATTTCGTTTTCTTTCGCATTTGTGAAAACAATTGTTGTTTTTGTTGTTGTTACTTTAAACGATCGATTGTTGTTTGTGGTAATTGTAAAATTGTCACCAAACCCAGCGTGCATCCGTGCGACGAACACAAATGTATGCATGCAGCGTTAGGTCGTTTTAGATTCAAGTACCTCGCCCAGCATGATGCCTGTGGGCGCTAGGCACCATTAGAAATTGTCGTTGTTGTTGCAGTGCAATGAGCATGAGCATATGTGTGAGAGAGAGCATTGCTCTTCGTTTACATTGTCAGAGAAGTGTAAATGCATTGTTTGGAGAGGACATTTGTTTTTGTTGCCATTAGAAGAAGTTGTAATGCCATGCACCTAAAAGTGCTAATGGAAATTATGTGAGGGTCTTAAGGGACGAAGAGACCGAGAAATAGAGAAGGGGGAAGAAATGCGGAATTTTGTCATATTGGAAATGAGTGGTTTGAGTTTATTTTTGTTTAAATGTCTCTCTATTATCATTGCAACATTAGTGTTTATTTTGAAGCGTTTCTCAAACAGCAACACTGTTTATTGTCTTAAGTTTGAAAGGTTTTGTTTGAAGTTCGTTGTCCGTCAAAATTTATGTTTTACATACATGTGTCAACATTTTTGGTTCGTGGCTGACATATTCAATATTGCGTGTGGGAAATGGATTTTTGAGGAAATCTTTTTAAACAAAAATCTTATTGAAATTACTCAATAATATTTCATATGGGTTTGTTTTGAGAGTAAAGGAGTAGGTATAATGTGAAAATATTGGATATGTTTCATTCCCTTGGGAATAAACTGTACAGGTGAGATAAATGAAAACAGCAACAAAGTTAAACGCCATAATTTTTACATTTTTTTTATTTTATTGAATGAAAGCAAAAATGTCGGAAATATCATCAAATTTTAGAATAAGTTTAGATTTGTTCGAATTGGTCACCTTTGACACGAATTATGGCCTTCAAACGGCCAATGAAACCGCTTCACGCTGCCCGAATGTTGTACTGCTATATTTTGGCCCATTCCCGGCGAAGCGCTTGCTTGAGGTGATCGTCACTTTGGTATTTTTTAGTGCCAACCTTGCTTTCCAAAATATTCCAGATACAATAGTCCAACGGATTGGTATCCGAAGATTTTGGTGGCCATTGTGCGCTGGGAATGAAAGCGATAGGCCTCTCATTTTGTAACCATTTTTGGGTGGCGCGTGCTGAGTGATGGTGCTGAGTCCTATTGGAATGTCCAAGGTCTGTACCAAAAATGTTTGTGTGCTCTAGGATTTATACACTCTCCAGAATATTTTCGCCATAATATTCGGCATTTATTCTGATGCCACGGTCGATTAATACAAGCGGAGAGCGACCAACGGCTGTTATAGCAGCACACACCATCACCATGGCCGCCGGCGCTTGAGTTATGGTGGCCAACCGAAGGTGCACATTTTCAGCTGACCTCTTTGGCAAGTAGGCACGGTCGTTTTCTTTATTTACAAACTGTTGGACAACGAATGTTTTCTCTTCGGGGAAAACCAAATTCGGCAGTTCACCATTTTTGGTCAAGCGAAGCAACTCTTTAGTTCTGTTGGGTCTATTGTCTTTCTATTGTGGTGTAAGTTCTTGGCCATTTTTGGAATTTCAATGGCTTTAACCCGAGCTCATTTTTCAATATTTGCCGAATGGAATATTGCGATATGTTCAGCTCAAGAGCCATTTTTCGGCCATTGCGATGCGGGTTTCGATCAAGTCGCTTCTTTACTTTTCGAACCATTTCTGCTGATGTTGCTGTTTTCTTCCGACCACTTCATTGACGTCGGGGTAAGCTACCAGTATCACGGTAACCGATAACGAGCGATGGAACGAGACACAAAAGATTTATTCACATTTAAATGCTGGAGTGCTCTAACGACGATAGCCACTTGTGGTTTTCCAGCCAAATAAAAAGAAATCACACTATCACGCTAGAATTCCACCACGAATAACTTTTTGTCTGGAAAATTCTCGCCAAAATGATTTTGTAGGCTTGTGAACATTATAATGAGCTGTCACTGGAATAATTTTAACTGCTATCGGACGAGTGGCTTAGAAATGACAGCAGTCTAAATTTGGTTGCAGTTTTTTCATCTCACCCTGTATATCTCGTATTGGTGATCGTGTGAACCTGGCTTAACTTGACAGCCATAAAACCACAATATCTCAAGCCATGGTATTTTCAAAATATATCTCATAAATTGTTTTTTTTTTCTGTCCGTCTTGTTGTAAAATATTAATTTGTTGTGGTTTATTTTTATTTCCATTTTTTTCTGGAGTGAGTGGTCGCATTATTGTGGCTTTTTGGATTTTTTTTTTTAATTTTGGTTTGTTTCATTTCGTGGCTGATTGTTATGGCCACACGTCGCCAATCAATTGTCAATCTGAGACAGAAAAACATGAAGACATTTTTTGAATTTTAACAATAATTTCGTCGAGAGAATAAATAAAACAAAAACCACTCAGACAGTAATAAAATATAAGGATATATGTTGACATTCGTCGTTGTCTTCGAAATATTTGTTTTTTTTTTTGGAGGCGGCATTTAGACACAATGGAATGAATGAAACAAGGAGAGGGGGGTAGTGCCATGAATAGTGTTGATTAAGGTGCGATTTATGGTTTACGTTTTTTCCCCTATCATCATTATCGTGGTTGTGATGATGATAATCATTATCATGATAACGTGTCGTGATCCAGCTCTTACGTCAATTTGTTTTTTTATACCCTCCATCATAGTATGGAGGGTATATTATGTTTGTTATTCCGTTTGTAACACCTCGAAATATACGTTATAGACCCCACAAATTATATACATTATTGATCAGTATAAAATTCTATGCCGATTTAGCCTTGTCCGTCCGAGTATCCGTCTGTGGAAATCACTCTATCTTCCGAACGAAAGATTGATAAAAATTTACCCAAATATATATTATGTTTGCAGAACTTTTGGTATTGAATATGAGCAGTGCACGTCCACGTTTTCGTATAACCTCCATATGACGGTGCCCCCCGATATTCGGTATTTTAATGATTTTAGCGACATTATTTGCCGGAATTATATCAAATTTCATATATAAAGTTCGTAATGGGTACTACAGCCTATGACAAAAACTTTTGTATGCTTTTGTATGCCACGTCTTCGAATAGACCCCCCCACACATATAACAGTACCTCCCGATAAATATTTCGTATGCAGGTCCACATCTTCGTATGGTCTCCATATAATGGTTTTATTTTAAGTGGCAGTTTTCGGGATTGTTTTGAAATTTGTCGAGTTCCTTCCAAATGGTGGAGGGTATCAAAAGTTCGGCCTGGCCGAACTTGTTAAGTTTTTTTTTTTAAATTTCACAAAAAAATGTTAACTATTTTTCTTGGACCAAACCCACGTTTCGTTTGTTTTTGGTTCTTTATACCCTCAGCCATATGACTAGTATCAATTGATACGGTCAAAACCAGCCTAGTCGAAATAGACCCTAGGTCTCTTTGGACCAAATCCATTGCAGGACATTTGAAGTCGATCTAGCGATGTCCTTCCGTCTGTCTGTCTGCCTTGTTGGTGCGTACTATAACTTTCGAAAGCAGTATCCGATTCGGGCCAAACTTGGTACATCATAATATTATTATTAATCTTAGATCGAGTTTGGAGATGGGCAATATCGGTCCAATCGTTACCTCCTCCACAAAAGGTCGACATTTTCAAAAAAATATTTTTCTGCACAGAAAGTGAAAGGATAATCAGATTTTGCTTCAACTTTGCAAATCTTAATATTTGCATCAGTGCTAGGCCAGGTGCGAAAATGGATAAAGGGTCAAAATTATGAATAATTATAACTCTTATAAAATGTGATGTAAGAGTCCGATCGTCTTCAAATTACACACATTACAATATTTTTTTAACCAATGGTCTGGTGTGAAGATGCAATGTATCGGTCCACTCCTTCTGGCTCCTCCCAAACAAAGGGTCGAAATTTTAACATCCATGAAGGTCATAAAAAGCCAAATTAACATCCGATTCCATTCAGACTTGACAAATGTGACTGTTTCCATCAAAACAGGATCTGCTGGATAGATGGTAGAGATCGGAACATTCCTTCTGGTACCTCCCTCACAAACAGTCGTAGTTTTGAATATTCAAAACTATAATTTAATCTGAAATAAGCATTCGATACTCTTTTTCGCACATCCCATTATGTCTACTAACACAAGATCTGCTGTGAAGATGAAATGTACCGGTCCACCCCTTCTGGTACCTCCCCTACAGAGAATCAAACTTTTGAATATCCATAAAGTTTATAAAACTCGGAATTAACATTCGATTCAATTCAGACTTGATATATCTCAATATTTGCACAACCACAAGATCTGTTATAAAGATGGTAGAGGTCGGGCAATTCCTTCTAGTACCTCCTCCACAAAGAGTTAAAGTTTTGAATAATCAAAACGATTATAAAATCGGAAATAAGCATGCAGTTCTCTTCTTGTTTCACACATAGCATTATTTCTACTAACACAAGATCTGCTGTGAAGATGAATGGATCGATGATATAGATCCACTCCTTCTGGTAGCTTCTCGAAATAAGCTACTCCCAAGCTAAGCTCCTGGTAGCTCCTCGAAAATAGAGCGAAATAAGCATCCAAAACTCCTCAAAATTCACACATACAAAACTTTTTGCTAACGAAAGATCTGTTGTGAAGATGATATAACTCTGCGAACCCCTTCTGGTATTTCCCCTAAATAGGGTCACAATTTTCAATATTTTGTCTACCATAACTTGCTAAACAAGTAAGCGATTCTTTACAACTTGCCATGCTTAAATATTTCTCTCAACCAGAAATCTGATATGAATATGGAATTCGTCTGAATTTATGATTTCGCATAAAAGTGGATGAAAATGTTCGATTTTCTTGTAATTTTGACCATACCAATATTTTTATCTGTCTTAGATGAAGTTTGGAAATTGAATACTTCGGGCGACCATATCTAGTTCCTCAAGCACATTTTTACATTTCCTAAAACTATCATATATCTTATATAAAATGAAGGAAGCATCGATACAGTCCAAAACTTGACACGTCGCAATATTTATATCACATTTATTTAGGTCCGATACGAAATGGACAATATTGAGCCATTTCTTCGGAAACTATTCCATAGAGGGTCAACAATTTGAACAATCCTAACAGAAGTCAAAATATATTTAAATACTCAAACATTGGCTGAGGGTATGCATCTGTCGACAAAACCGACTGATACTTTTTCACTTGTTTTTCTTTAAAATTTACAAAATATTTTAAACTTTGTTTTATTATTTCAGAGGTGACCAAATCCTCCTTTCATTGACTTTTTTATTAATTTTTGTTTCTATTTTTTTCTTTTCAGAAAAATCGGATAAACATCACAACCTCCACCTTCATTCTGGGCAGCTGGGTGGACAACATCATCATTTGCAGTCGCCACATGACCGACATCTTTTTAATACAACAACAACAAATACCCTAAAATCGGGCAATGTTTATATCGAGGATGGAAATGGAACTGGCTCGAAATGCTAAAAGAAAAAAAAAACCACACTACTCCCGAAATCAAAAAACAGCCCAAGAATTCTTCAAAGCTATCCGAACAACTAAAACCCCCTTTTTGTTTATTTTTTTTCCTAAACGATTTGAAAACTAATTTTAGGCCACGGTTACATTTAAGCCCTTTATGGGGGTAAAGAATTCTATCATGATAATTCCACGGTTTGGAATATATGTAGATTATGATACAACACTTATCACATTAAAGGGCTGTAGTGCAAACGTGGCCTGAGACCCCAATACGGCAGCTATTCTATTGTCAAACAGAATTGTAAATTCTTTTGAAATGAAATTTTAAATATTATATTTTTAAGCCCAAATTCTACGAACAAGAACAACAACAAACACAACAACCCTAAAGCAACTGCAACATACTTAAGAATAAATTAAAAAAAAAATTAAAATTAAAAACACACAAATAATTATATTAATAAAAAAATAAATGAAATAAAATCGAAACAATTAAGCAGTAAATTATTTCATTATTCTTTCCCTCTCCTTCTCGTGCTCTCTCCCTCTCTCTCTCTCTTTTAAAACTAGACTCCTAACTTATTATAAAAAATATAAATTTTGTTGTCTTGTTGTATTATTTTTTTAATTTACTTGTTTTATTTTATTTTCTTATTTAGGTTTAGAGGTATCAATTCTAATTTTATAATTAAAAAAAAAAACTATTCCGTTGTGTAAATAAACATTTGATTTTAAAAGAAACAATTAACAGTTATATATTTAAACACACTGCGTATTGAAATAGGCATTGGCAATTAATATTACATTTAATATTAAACCAATATTAATTAATTAAATTTATTTTAAATAAAAAACACAAAACAAATTAGGTTATTTTTAAAATAAAAACAAAAAATGTTTTTCTGGAATTTTGAATTCATAACTTTTTGTGGAGAATAAAATAAGAGGAGAGGATATTGAAAAATAATTTAAAAAGTATTGTTTTCTTAAGATGCCAGCTGATACCATTAACGACAATTATTGTTATGGAAAAAAAAAACTAGGGTCAACTCTGGAAAAATTCGAGCGAAAAATAATTATAATATAATTATGAAGAAAGGGTTTATGAAGCCAACATTGGGGCCTGTTAATCATATCTAACCTCGAGCTCTCAAATGTCACAAACGCTCAACTCACCAAAAGTGTTCTTTTTGGCCTTTTTTGTCTTGCAGGGAGTCAAGATTTCCACTTCTATGAGTAGAGATCATAAAATGCCGAAATCTGAACATAGACTTAACGTTCTGAATACCATTTACTGTTTTGTTGTTGTGAACGTATCTAATAGGAAAAAAATGTTAACTCATTGAAGATATATTTTAGAGGACTCGCTGATAACGATATTTTAAAAGATTTCAAATGATTTCAAATTTGAGTTAAATAAAATTGAGAAATTTTGAAGTGTCTTCTATTTTAATAACCTCCACATTGAAACATCCTTAAATCTTCGTCGTAGACCCCATGATCAGCATAAAATTCTGAGACAATTTAACGATATCCATCTGTCTGTTGAAATCACGATGCAGCCCACATTATTTAGTGCTTCAAATTTTGGCAGAACAATTTGTATTGTATTATAAAGGATACTTGGTATTGAAAATGAGACATATCGGTCTACGGTTTGGTATGGTCCCCATATAAAGCCATCTCTCAATATTTGGTATTTGCTGATTTTTGTCACATTTTTTCACGTTTTATATACTCTCAGCCATATGGCTAGAGAGGGCATCGAAATAACGGTTTTAGAACTTAGGTCTCTTTGGACAAAATGTCGATGTCCATCTGTCTGTCTGGCTTGTGTGCACGATAGCAATCAAAGGGACTATCCGATTTGATCCAAACTTGGTACCACGTATTTTTATTGTCGAACTTATATCGAATTCGGAGATGGGCAATATCGGTCCACTCCTTCTAGTACCACAAAATGTGAACATTTTCAAAGAAAGTAAATTACTGCACAGAAAGAGAAAGGATAATACGATTTTGCTCCAACTTCGCGAATTCTAATATTTACATCAGTGCTAGGTCAGGAGCAATATCAGTCTACTCCATCCAGTACCTCTCCCACAAAGGGTTACAAATTTGAATAACTATAACTCTTATAAAATGTGATTTAAATGTTCGATTGTCTTCAAATTACGCACATTGCAATATTTTTAATAACACAAGGTCTAGTGTAAAGATGGAATATATCGGTCCATTCCTTCTGGTACCTCCCTGACAATGGGCCAAATTTTGAATGAGCCTAAAACTCATAAAACGCGAAATTATATCCGATTTCATTCAGACTTGGTATATCTCAATATTTCCATAAACACAGGGTATGTCATAAAGATGGTAGAGGTCGGAGCATTCCTTCTGGTACCGCCCCACAAAGGGTCAATGGTTTGAATAACCGAAACGATCATAAAATCCGAAATAAGTATCCGGTTCAAATTACACACATCACAATATTTTTATTAACCCAAAGTCTGGTGGGAAGATGGGATACATCGGTCCAATCCTTCTGGTACCTTCTCCACAAAGGGTCAATTTTTTTCCATGAAGCTCATAAAACGCGAAATAAACATTCGATTCCATTCAAACTGGGCACATTTCAATATTTCTGTCAACACAAGATCTGTTATAAAGATGGTAGAGATCGGACCATTTCTTCGGGTACCTCCCCCACATAAGGTTCAAGATTTTGAAAAACAAAACGGTCAAAGAAAAGCGAAACTCTACTCAAATTTTACACATCCAAATATTTTTTGCTAATGCAGGATCTGTTGTCAAGGTGGTATATATCTGCGAAACCCACTCTTCTGGTACCTAACCCATAAAGAGTCATGTCCGTCAAGATAAATTTAAATTTAATTAGCAAAGACACAAACCAAGGTGATTTTTTCTCCGGTTCACAAAGGGTTAATAAAGAGAGAGAGAGAGTAGTAAACCAGAGAAAATTAAAGGTAAACTAAATTATATTAGTTTTCATCAAATTTCATAATTTTCCCTACAAATTTCAAATTTCAAATGAAATCGCTAAATAAAAACCTAATTAAAATTTACGTTGAAAAACTTTGAAACCCTTAACTCTACATTTAAACTGAGAATAAAATATTTAAAAATGAAGCGGTGTCGAGGCTGGGCACAAACGAAAGGTCTCGAGGAGTACTTTCCGAATCTGTGGACCTTATAGTCAAAAAGAATTTCAGACTTAGGAATTTTTTGCATTTTCTGAAGAATTATCGCTCAATTTTATGGAAATTGAAGATAGAAGCGTCCACAGAACAGAAACTAAAAATGAAGCGGTGTCGAGGCTGGGCACAAATGAAAGGTCTCGAGGAGTACTATCCGAATCTGTGGACCTTATAGTCGAAAAGAATTTCAGACTTAGGCATTTTTTGCATTTTCTGAAGAATTATCGCTCAATTTTATGGAAATTGCAGATAAAAGCGTCCACAGAACAGAAACTAAAAATGAAGCGGTGTCGAGGCTGGGCACAAATGAAAGGTCTCGAGGAGTACTTTCCGAATCTGTGGACCTTATAGTCAAAAAGAATTTCAGACATAGGAATTTTTTGCATTTTCTGAAGAATTATCGCTCAATTTTATGGAAATTGAAGATAGAAGCGTCCACAGAACAGAAACTAAAAATGAAGCGGTGTCGAGGCTGGGCACAAATGAAAGGTCTCGAGGAGTACTTTCCGAATCTGTGGACCTTATAGTCGAAAAGAATTTCAGACTTAGGCATTTTTTGCATTTTCTGAAGAATTATCGCTCAATTTTATGGAAATTGCAGATAAAAGCATCCACAGAACAGAAACTAAAAATGAAGCGGTGTCGAGGCTGGGCACAAATGAAAGGTCTCGAGGAGTACTTTCCGAATCTGTGGACCTTATAGTCAAAAAGAATTTCAGACATAGGAATTTTTTGCATTTTCTGAAGAATTATCGCTCAATTTTATGGAAATTGAAGATAGAAGCGTCCACAGAACAGAAACTAAAAATGAAGCGGTGTCGAGGCTGGGCACAAATGAAAGGTCTCGAGGAGTACTTTCCGAATCTGTGGACCTTATAGTCGAAAAGAATTTCAGACTTAGGCATTTTTTGCATTTTCTGAAGAATTATCGCTCAATTTTATGGAAATTGCAGATAATTCGAACTTCGAAAAATAGTGAGAGCATTGATTGGAGTTAAAATTGAACAGAAGGTAATATACATGCACTGACAAAAAATTGTTGAATTCAAATTATAAATACAGAAAATACAAAAATAATTGCAACACATTTTTAATTAACTTCTAAATTTGTGCCCAGCCTCGACACCTCTTCATTTTTAGTTTCTGTTCTGTGGATGCTTTTATCTGCAATTTCCATAAAATTGAGCGACAATTCTTCAGAAAATGCAAAAAATTCCTAAGTCTGAAATTCTTTTTGGCTATAAGGTCCACAGATTCGGAAAGTACTCCTCGAGACCTTTCGTTTGCGCCCAGCCTCGACACCGCTTCATTTTTAGTTTCTGTTCTGTGGATGCTTTTATTTGCAATTTCCATAAAATTGAGCGATAATTCTTCAGAAAATGCAAAAAATTTCTAAGTCTGAAATTCTTTTCGACTATAAGGTCCACAGATTCGGAAAGTACTCCTCGAGACCTTTCATTTGTGCCCAGCCTCGACACCGCTTCATTTTTAGTTTCTGTTCTGTGGATGTTTTTATCTGCAATTTCCATAAAATTGAGCGATAATACTTCAGAAAATGCAAAAAATGCCTAAGTCTGAAATTCTTTTCGACTATAAGGTCCACAGATTCGGAAAGTACTCCTCGAGACCTTTCATTTGTGCCCAGCCTCGACACCGCTTCATTTTTAGTTTCTGTTCTGTGGACGCTTCTATCTTCAATTTCCATAAAATTGAGCGCTAATTCTTCAGAAAATGCAAAAAATTCCTAAGTCTGAAATTCTTTTTGACTATAAGGTCCACAGATTCGGAAAGTACTCCTCGAGACCTTTCATTTGTGCCCAGCCTCGACACCGCTTCATTTTTAGTTTCTGTTCTGTGGACGCTTTTATCTGCAATTTCCATAAAATTGAGCGATAATTCTTCAGAAAATGCAAAAAATGCCTAAGTCTGAAATTCTTTTCGACTATAAGGTCCACAGATTCGGAAAGTACTCCTCGAGACCTTTCATTTGTGCCCAGCCTCGACACCGCTTCATTTTTAGTTTCTGTTCTGTGGACGCTTCTATCTTCAATTTCCATAAAATTGAGCGATAATTCTTCAGAAAATGCAAAAAATTCCTAAGTCTGAAATTCTTTTTGACTATAAGGTCCACAGATTCGGAAAGTACTCCTCGAGACCTTTCGTTTGTGCCCAGCC